AAACAGCTGTACCTTAGCTGGACTGTTTGTGCATATTACTTAAAAACGCAGGAGACTGAGGAGGGGCGCACTTAAACGCGATTGCGTTGAAGAGCCTGTTTCGCAGAAATTCCGGCGTTGGCGCTAGCGTCGTTGGTTTTCAGCCGAAAATTATCATCTTATGCGTGACGTAAAAATCGAGACCGATGCAAATAAGATAAAATGATCAAAAATTCTCAGTCAGAGTGGGGAGCGAGCCCGGGTCAATGACGTGCCAAGTGGACGTTCCGAGAGGAAATTTGTGAATACAGTCAAAATAACTTCTTGTTCTTGGAAATGAAGTGCAAGTATATTTCATGCTTTACACACACGCATTCTGCATAGATGCTTAACAATGCAACATGAAATATTGCAGTAATAGTGCATGGTACAAGCACCCACTGTCAGCGGCCGTCCGAACATGCGATTATCCTTACGACTTCGGGGTTTTAAGCGTGTTACCCACTACAAGATAGACACACGCTACTGCGCCTATTTTCTTAAGGTCACGTAGTGGGTGCATAGCAAGTTCACACCAGTTGAATTTACTAAAAGTGCGCACCAAGAATAAAAAGTTCTAGGGCCAAGTGAGGATAGAGCCCAGGCCATATGGGTTGCACGGAAATGTTCTACCACTAGCCCACATCTCTGCTTGAAAACACAGAGAAAAAATAACTCCCACTGCTCACAAAAGCCCCTTTTTATGCGTAAAACCCACTACAGAGCATGCAGGCCCATGCGAATTTTATTGATTGATGAATAATATGTTGGGTTTAACGTCCCAAAGCTACCTTATGATTATGAGAGACGCCGTAGTGGAGGGCTCCGGCAATTTTGACCACCTGCTGTTATTTAACGTGCAGCCACATCTGAGCACATTGGCTTACAACGTTTTCGCCTCCATCGAAAATGCAGCCGTCGCATCCGAGCTTCAATCCCGTGACCTGCGGGCCAGTAGCCAAGTACCGGAGCCAATAGACCACCGCAGCGAGGCCACATGCGAATTAAGGAACGTGACATCGCTATCACGTTGAACTCTTAAAGGAAAAGTTCAAGGATCCCCTATTTTTTCTAAGAAAATGTACGAGCTGAACTCTTACTCCCTAAGCCATCCTCGAACGCGCGGGGTGTCTTTAGAGCGCGCCGAACGCCGCATTTTGCCAGCGCTTTCCTCAGTCGCGCACTGTAAATGTATTGACCACTCAGGCAAAAAGGGGTTGAAATGTTACGGAGTGTTGATGTATCTGCAACATACGAAATAGCTACAAGGGAATGAAAGCTAGAACTTATTATTTCAAAAGCCTTACATGTCTCAAACAGCGAAAAATTTCACCAGCGGACCTGCATCCATGGTGGCAATGTATGAGGCAAAAAACCATCATTACGCGATGTCGCCATATAACGCCATCATTAGGTCACACATAACAAATATTATTGACGTCACCTGATGACCTCAACACATGACAGGAGGAAGGTAGTGAAAGATCAGCCGGTCACGAAGGTCTGGTAAATCTAGGTGAGGTGCTCCCGATCAGAAGACGGTCGAAAACCACGTTGGGGGGGGGGGGGAGAGAAAGAATTCGGTGGATTGGCGGGGAAGGCAGAATACATCGACTGAGAAATAAAAAAAAAACGTGACTTTCTCCTTAAAGTCTTAATTTGTGAGATAATAAGAGACCATATGAATATACATGACACTCGTCCAAGTATTTTAAATTACCCTTGAATAACTAAGGTAAACGGGAAGAGCTTTTCAACATATTTAGAAGCAAATGCGTTCTGTTTTAGTGGTGTGCTACCCGTGACGTGCTGTTATATCTACATGTTTACCGCAATGCTGCTACCACTCCGACTTTTAAAAATTTATGCTATTTGGCTTTGAATTACCGAAGCTCTTCTAAAGCACAGTTTTTTTTCTTGGTCCTTTCTTTCTGTACTAAAGTCAGAAAATAAATTTTGATTTGATTTGTAGGGGGCATTCCTTACTTACCATTGCAATGTTTTGGCAATGCTCATGCTGGGTAGTGACATTCTTCGGTGTTTACTATGAAACGAAACAATGTTAATGCACTGTTGCACAACCGTACTGCAGTGATCTCAATCGTTCTTCGAGCGCAAGAACCCTGCAGCCGATTGTGGTGGTATGAACTCAATTTGTAGATCAGCTCAGATGGTAAATCATCGACGGGTTGTTACAAAGAAGCCCATTTGGTTCCTACCAGAAGCAATATCTTTTTTCGTCCACTTAATTTCTCTATGGTTACATTATATTTACTAACAAAAACGTCCCCAGTTTACTTCTTAGTTTTTTACATGTTAGTTCTACTTATATAGTTTCCCAAAGAAATTACAGGGGGAACCTGGCGCTCACATCGTTCAGCGTCCATGGGGATGATGGGTAGTACACGGATTCGCCTAGCCTTCGTACTTGCGGGTGGCGAATCGTACTTGTGGGCGGCAAATCGTACTTGTGGCTTCGTTTATTGCTGGTTTCGGTTTCGTTTTGAAAGAAAGAACAAACCCTTTTGAACTTCGTGACCTGATTCTAAATGGTACGCCTAAAAAAAATAAGGTGGTGAAGCGCAACCCCTGAACATTTGCTGATTTTGTTTATAGAGAAAACAACTCCAAGCCAGACGAACCCACACAGAGCTAAAAACAGGCCAGAAGTACGAAAATTATACAAATACGTGTACTACCCATCATTCCCTCGCTCGCTGAAGCGCCGTGCGTTGCAGCATCCATAGACACTGGCGCCGGAGTGCCCTATTGTGTATATTAGGTAACTCTATATGGTTCTAATTACACGTGAGCAAAAATTGCCCGCAGCTTCCCTCGGGGGAACACTGAGGAGGATGCGGAGCATATAATTGGTTAACCGGGTGTTAAAGTGCGACTTACTTGGATCGATGGCTAAATTGGTTAACGTGGTTGTGAAATGGGGTGTTAAATTGCGACTTACTTGGGTCGATGGCTAAATTGGTTAACGTAGTTGTAGGAGGGGGTGTTGAATGAGTGAACACGTACACACGTATGCGAAAGGGCGGCGCTGGTCGAAGAGACGTCGATCATTGTGTTTGTGGATTCGTTGGAATTCATTTCACCGCGACCTTGGACGTCGACGCGCCGTACAAACCAACCGACGAGCGGCAACTGAGCGAGCGAGCGCCGACCTTGAGTATATATACAGCGCGACGGCGCATGCACTGTCAGCTGTCGAATGTTCGAGAAGAGGGAGAAGCGCAACGGCGCATGTGCGCGCGTCAGCTGCCGATGTTCTCGAAGCGCGACGGCGCATGCGCGCGCGTCAGCTGCCGATGTTCTCGAAGCGTGACGGCGCATGCGCGCTACATTATACAGCTAGCGAATGTTCGTGAAGAGGAGAAGCGCACAAGCGAGGACAAGCGAGGAGAAGCGTGTGTAGAGGAGGAAGGCTGCACAGATGGTAGAGGAGTGAAGCGCGCGCGGTGTGTAGAGGAAGAAGGGGTGCACAGATGGTGGAAAAAGGAGGAGGAAGCTTGCGGACGGCGCCGCACTACAAGCCTCGAGTATTAGATGCTCCGCATCTAAAACTGTGGAGCTCGTTCAGACCCACTCATGAAATATATATAGCGCTTTGGGCTGACTCGGACTAATACTCCGCAAAACTTTCCTGGGCTGAACTCACTCGGACTCACAATCACGAAAACTTTGATAAGCTGAACTCGGTAGACCTCTGACTCACCAGTAGGATTGACTTATATTCAAACTCACTGCTTGAATTGAGTCTGAGTGAGTCTGATTGAGTTGACTCATTAGTAATTCGCCGACCTATGGTTCTTTTTGATGTTATTCACATTAGAGAGACTTGTGTTACTGAGTTATTTTATTGTTTTGTTTCCTGTGTGTTTTTCTATTATAGTCAATGGGCCGGAATGGCAGTATTTATGGTATTTTCGAGTGACACTTCAAGGAGGAGAGGGCTGACAGTGCTTCAGTCCGAGCTTATTACAGTTTTTCTATTAACTCACAATTCGGATCAAATAGTATTTTATACGGCTTTCCACGCACCGTTTATGAGCTCAACAAATTTAATAAGTTGATTATAAAAGAATTCATGTTAACCACCTCTTTTCCTCTCTCAAGTTAAGTGGAGGGCTTAGACAAAATAACCCACAGTAAATATTACATCCGAAAACATTAACACAGATGAATTAAGAACGCTCTTACATGGTTTTTGTACTCAATGATCTTCGTTTCCTTTCACGCAATGCATACTTTGATATTCTTAAAGCGATAATCAACATTGCTAAGATAGTGAATAACCACACGAAAAGTGAAATATCAGCCTAAAAAGTGTTGACTTTTAAATGTAAATGACGTTTTCTGCACGATTGCCTCTATGATATGTTTGAGAGAACACATTGAGTACATTGAACACAAAAAGTACTATTGGGTAGAATGAAAGTTACGAGCGTACAGAAGCTACAGGGCGAGTGCAAGTGGTCACCAGTACAGCTGTGAATGCCAGAGCTATAGCCACATCTTGAGGACGAAGTCCAAGTCATTACTAGAGGTGTCTTTTAGCATATGATAATTTATAAATGGTCCTAGAATAATTAATTAGGTATGCTCCTGCAGGATTCTTTTAAAGGGCTTCGAATGCTTTCTTAATTTACCTCAGTAAGCGCTACTTTGGTCTTCACCGGACTCGCAGCATTGGCCTTTGCGCGTAATAACTTACTGTCACATGGCAGAAGTCAGTGACATTTTGTCAGTGTGCTGCATTGTGGAGTACAGAACTAGTCTCGAATTTCGGCAGTGATACGCGTGTTTAAATTTTATTTTTTTTGAAAGTAAAGAGCAGTGCGCTGGCCTATAAGGGAGTAACCGGTGTGTAGAGGACGAAGAAAAAAAAAGAAAGGTTGCCTACTGATGTTTCAGATTGTCAGAACTCTTGTATATATTTCATGAATAATAAGCCAGGTTGACCAGTGATCGTCGCAGACGCGAGCGCTGAGGAGCTAGACTGCGCTTTCACATCGTAGCACGGGAGCCTAGCAATACACCAAGTGCTGAATCTACAGCGACGAGGCGTCACAGTTGCAGATCCTTGTCGCGAGTATTTTTGTGCGGGCTTTGGTGAGTAGGCTAGTTTCTACTGCCTCAAGATTATGGTGAGCATGAGTAAGTTCATTGTGAAAGCTAGGCGCTGCATTTCGATGCTGATGTCATTAACTGACTTTATTGGTCTTCGTTACTGGCAAAAAGGGCACTTTCTTTTATTCACTGCCAAATACAAAGAAAAGCTTTGTTCTCAAACGTATCAATAACATTTTACGCAGTACTAGGCACTGTATGAATAAGGAAAGCAAATTTTTGCCACGGCAAAACGAGGAACAAGCTCAGCTTTCCAGGCAGTTTATTTGATGGTTTTAAAAACGTTGATGTCCATATCACAACGATCCTGAGCTCCCATGATTGATTGATTGATACGTGGGTATGTAACGTCTCAAAACCACTATATGATTATGAGAGACGCCGTAGTGGAGGGCTGCGGAAATTTTAGACCATTTGGGGTTCTTTAACGTGCACCCAAATCTGAGCACACGAGCCTACAACATTTCCGCCTCCATCGGAAATGCAGCCGCCGCAGCCGGGATTTGAACCCACGCCCTGCGGGTCAGCAGCCGAGTACCTTAGCCACTAGACCACCGCGGCGGGGCATGCTGAGCTCCCACAGTGATGGTGATTACAGCGAAAGGTGTTTTGAAATCTCAACGAACAATTTTGATGGCGCAGTTGTCCACTGCCAATGCGAGTAACTACTATCGCCCGATAAAAAAAGAAAATTCAGAATTGGATGAAATTTGAACCCACGTACTCTACAATAAAGCAACATTTGTTTCATTTTTTGTTACTTGGTTTCAATCTCGTCTCCGCATAATACGAAGTAATGGCATAGTGGGTGCTTGTTTTCTTTCCACAAAGAGAGTTTCTGATAGGCTTTAGCCCGAATGCTCTGTCAAATTTTGTTGTGACAGCGCTGTGTGTCCTGGGAGGGCCTTATGTTTTTTGTGATGTCGCTAACGTTGCTCAGAGCCCGTAAACTTCTTTACGTATATAGTTTTTCTCGGATGCTGCGGCTGATATTGCATATATTTGGAACATTATAGAGGCATGTATATATGTAATATGAAGCAAGAATAATATTCTGAGAATCAAGGGACATAAAAGCGTGGTTTACAATCCCATCTATTCAATTGTGCTTGATAATAGTCACTATAGGTTACTTACTTTTTCTGTACGCCTCTAACTTTCAAACACATACGGAGAAGGAGGAACAGAGTGTAAGGTTGTGGGAGAAATCTCACAAATTGACATGCAGACTGAAGTGTTGGCGCACTGCATGAATACTTTATCTAGTAGTAGAGGTTATGTGCGACAAACGGAGATGTGTGTGAATTGTATTGTGTGCATAAGGTTTTATTTGGCGTTCAGGACGGAAGCGTTTATTTTTTGATACTCGCGGTGACCGGCTGACTGGCTGAATCCGGCTGTGTCTGGGGCCTAGCACACGATACCTCGAAAAGTCTTCACCTTTGCACTAGCTTCTCTTCAGGTTTGTATGTTACCATAGATTAGGATAATATCAACCACAGCATGATGCTCCACTCCAGAAGATGACTATAGATGTGCTTGATCACGTCCATAAGTGCAAAGCATGAAGCGCACATTTCTTCAATATAGTGGTAAAGATAAAAAGCTAAAACAGACGGCGCTTCGATGGATCACAGCCCTTGGTAAACACCAAGGCTGCCTATTTAAGCTTTGCTGGTTAATTATCTGTACCAAGAGCTTCAGCCGTCCACCACGGAGGGTCAGTAGCTACGGTGCTCGGCTGCTTACCCTGAGGTCCCGGGCTTGATCCCAGCCGCGGTCGTCGCATTTCAATAGAGGTGAAATGAAAGAGACCCGTGTGCTGTGCAATGTCGGGGCACGTTAAAAAACATGACATAGTCGAAGTATCCAGCGCCTTCACTACAGCATCTTTCATGATGATCTTGCGGTTCTGGGACGTAAAAGCCCAGATATTATTTTTATTAGCTTCGGGTTGAGGGTAATGAGGCTCTTTTCTTAACAGTTTCTCAGTAATTACGTGGTGCGCGTCAACGCTTCTTTGTCGACGTCTCGTTGAAGCACCCCCACTTCTTTATCTCTCCATACTCTAGCGTTGTCATCATGCCGGATGGCGTGGATTAAGATAGAAACTGTAGGGGGTTTCGAGGCTGCTCGGCCCAGAATCCCGCAGGGAACACGCGGAGCCAGGCCAGGAATCTTCTTTATTGACCGGAACCTGGGCTGCAACAGCCCGCTGCCAGTGGCTGCCGCGTGCCCCCAAGCGCACACCCGATCGTCCTCCTCCTCTTCCTTCTGTAATTAACAGGCTCGCGGCTGCCGCTCACATAAGACAAACGAGAAGAGGCATGTTTGCTTATAATCCATGTCTATCAACTCCGTTGTTACCAACCAAATGAGCGAACCCAGCTATATCTGTATTCTGCATTATCCCCTCTCGAGGAAGAGTGTTCATAAACAGAAACAAAAAAGTAAACATGATAACGAACCCAATTCATATTCGCTGGCTGCTTCCTCAGGGCTGACTTTACACATGAGATCACCTGAAATTGCCCTACGTACGCAAAATAAAGTCACATCTTTTCTCCTTTGAGAGTGCCGGTGTCACACCTAGTCATTAAAGTGGCCAGGACACTTCTTATCTTGGGTGGGTTAGTAATGACAGGGATGCTTGAGTGGCTGGAGAGGTTGGAGTACATGAGCGTCTGTGTTTGTCAAAGGTGCTAGATCATCATACTCTGGTTCGGCACTCTGTGGCAATTTTTAAACAATGCGTGAAGCATCCTTGAAGAAAGCAGTATTTCGGACCACCACTCTACTTCGTCGTGATCTCGTGATGCACAATTCATGACCCTAAAATAATAGTGATTATATATTGCAAATGATCAAAGAATGGTGTGAATTTGTTTTTTTAGTGGCTGCTTGAAAAGAAATTGCTGACCCACAAACAAGCGATGTGGTGTGGCACGCCTTATGGTATCAGCGTACTGTTTGACACTTCCCGCCGTAATTGTCTTGACCGTATGTCAGTCTTGTTAGCTGCTTCTGGAGGTGCAACATACTTAATAAAGAGATTTCGCATAGTCTTTCCAAACAATAGTGTGTAGGAAGTTAGTTTGGCTGTGCAGTGTGATGTAGACCTGTATGACATCTAAAATGTCTTCAGCTCTGACTTCCAGTGACTGTTCTCAAGTGGGCTGGCGTGGACCTCTTTCCACAGTGTCCGCATGAATGTTTCAACATCGCCATTTGCATGAAGCCGTAAAGGTGTGATTCTGTGGTACCAAAAACCAAGTTCTTCAGCGAAATCTGCAAATTCTGCGCCTTGTAATGAAGGTTCATTCTCCGTCCGTACTTATTCGGAGATTCTAAATTGAGCGAAAACTGCTCGGAGGAGTGGCAGTGCTCCACGAGCATCAGTACAGCTTATGACCTGCACAACTGACTAAAGTGAAAAGTAATCGACTATTCCCATGACATTCTTTCATCGGGAAATGGGTCCCAGAAGTCGACTAACACAACTTCCTACGGGCTGTTTGGTGCCTATTTTAGAGAAAGTTGTTCACAACTTGACTGAGTTATTACAGCTCGGGTTGGGAGGCCACCCTTGATGAGTGCGTGTACCAACCTGTCCGTGCGTCGGAACCATACTTTCTCTCGAAGGTGTTTTTTTGTTGTTAAAGTACCCTAATGACCACGATGTGCAAGTTGTATTACATGTTTTTGAAGATTTGTATAGAGAAACAAGCGTGTTCCCTTGAGCATGGTGCCATCAGGGGCTGTTGCCACTCCGTTTTCATTGTAGCGAATGGTTTCAGTACTGCTGTTTGCCCTTTTCCCTGCAAGTTATGTACAGCTTTTTTGACCAGCTTCAGTTGTTGGCTGACTTTTGTTTGTTTAGCCACTTTTCAATTGAGAATTATTTTAAAATGCAATGACGTGGTACGAAATAAACATACTCATCTGGAAGTTTGTCGATTTGACGACCTGGCTCTGGGTGCCTTGACAGGTAGTCTGATGGAGGGCTGCTGCCAGTAGTGGGCTGCACATGAAATGCATATTGCTGTATCTGGAGAGAAAGGCGTTGTATGCGGGCAAATGACACTGGTTTGGGGTTTCCTAGGATACTGACTAGATTAGGATCTCTTAGAAGAAAGATCTGTGCACCGCATGACTGACAGCTGCTAACCTTTTTCGTTTGATTTGAGAGTAGCTGCTTTCAACTGGCACCTGCGCTTGGCTTGCATATGCTATCACAATGGCGCTTGTGTGCTTTCTTTGGACTAACATTGCACCAAGACCATGTGAGCTTGCATCAACTACCATTTCTCTGGGTCTTGAAGGGTCAAAATAAGCCAGTGTGGAAGCGTCAGAAATCACCTGTTTCTATCTGTCAAATGCCTTCTGGTGACGGAAAGTTCACTCCTAACTCGCATGCTTCAGCATCAGTTTCCGTAGAAGCTGTTTGGTCTCGGCGATATTTTTTGCAATTCTTCCTGAACAGTTGACCACTCCCAGCAGACTCTTCACTTTTTGTGGTGACTGCGATGTTTTGATTTGTGGGAAAGCTGCTATTTTCTTGGGATCCGGGGGAATTCAGTCAGCTGAAAGTGCAAAACAGGTGCGTTCACGTGTATGAAAGTGACATTTATTTTTAATACGTGTGAATCCGGCTTCTTGGAGTCGCTGAAAGACAGCTTCAAGGCAAGTATCATGCTCCTGTTTTGTTTGTCACAATACAAGAATGTCATCCCTAACATTGAGAACGTTGGGTGGGGGCAGGGGGGCGTTGAGTACTTCATTATTAGTCTTTTGAAAAAATTCAGCTGCACTGCTGAAGTCAACGTTTAGGCGTTTATATCGAAACAAGCCAACACGCATTGAAAACGTCGTAAGCTGCCTTGAGGGATCGTCAAGTTCCAGCTAATGATATCCATTCTTCAAGTCAAGATTTGAAAATACTGTTGCTCCATTTAAAGCAACAATAATGCCATCTACTGCCGGCGCAAATGTCATTCACAAGGGATAGTAATATGAACGACACGAATCTAAATACAGATTCAGATTCACTTACGTTGATGCGGTTTAGGTACAATTATGAAAGGGGACACCCATGGTGTAGGTCCGATGGCTGGCTCAATGATGTCTTCTGAATTGAGGTGTTGAAGTTCCTCTTGAGAGGCGTTACTTAAGGCAAAGGAAATATGCCCGTGAGGTTGGACAACAGGTGGGACGTTTTTCTCCACAAAAAGGTGGTTGTGCTGGTTATTTAGCTTTGCAACTTTAAAGAACAACTTGGAAAATGCTTCCACGATTGATTTATAATTTAGCTGCTCATCAACCTAATATGTGATCTACATAAGTGTTAAGTTAGATGCTGCTTTGAAGCTCAAAAGTGGAGCTTAGTTATCAGGAATGATGATGGTGTGTTCCTCAATGCATTTGTCTGTATCTCGTCGTGACAGCAACCTTGTCTAGAAGTTTCAGCAAGGATGGTGCTTTGTAAGGAAATACTCGGATGAATGTTGCCTAGAAATTCCCACTTAGATGGTAGTTCTTGAATGGTTTTCACCCACAATGGACAAAGTAGCACCTGTGTCGATTATGATAGTCACATGTACACTGGTCGCGGTAACAAAATCTTTTAGAAATGAGCCTGCCTGAGGGAATATCATTGCCGCAAATGCTTGCTCGTCACTGCTTGAACCTGTCTCAAAGGAGGCAGTTCTGTAGTGGTTGTACACTTATTGTAAACTAACTGTGAGTTCCAGTTTGGACTAATGTCACAGTCATTGAATTACTGTCACAGTTGATTGAGAGACACGATCGTTCAGATAGACCATCCTTGTGAGATGCATTGCACGTCTAAGCTGACCGCCCACACCGCCGCAGTTGTGGCATTCTATTGATAAGATACGAGGTCGCTGACGTTCATGGCGTTTTGGTGGTGACCTTCGTTCGTCTCTTTGATGATGACCTTGTTGTCCATCCTTGTGCAATGTGAGCACCCCTGCGTTGCCATTATTCTTCTCAATTTCGGATACATCCCCTTCAACATACTCGTATATTCTACCTTCCTCGAATATTCTTCCTTGCTCAAGTAGGTCCGGTAATTTTAGAGGGTGAACCATGACATACTTACGCGGACGAGATGGTGGTGTGGCAAGGTGGATTTGTATCTTGATTTTAAGATCGGCGTCCGTGAAGCCTCAGTGTTGGGTGAGCTGCTGGAGTTTGGCGTTAAACGTGTCCAAGCTTTCAATGACGTTTTTTTTTTGTACGAAGTGGCAAATTGAGAGAGTGAACTATGACATACTCAGCAAAGGTGGGGTTGATCCGTGGTGAGAAGTGAGCGTCGAGTTTCGATTTTGCCACTTCGTACTCGGACGTCGTTTCTAATGTGCTGCCGAGCCGAGACTGGAATATGTTCTATAACTCTTCATGAACGTAGTGAAATAAAAGAGCTTTCTTGCGAGTGTCCGACATAATTTTACACGCAACAAGAGCTTTGATATTGTTTTACCCACTTTGTTCATTCAAGTTCAATGTTGTTAGCATCGGTGGCTCGAAGGTCAGAACTTGAGGACGGTGGTAGTGGATTGGCGATGTTATGATGTTGCACTTGCCTGAGAGTCTCCAGCTGTGTTTACGATTTGAATTCTTCTAAATTGTTGTCTTCACATTCTTGGTGATGAGTTTCACCGCTTCGGGTTACCAATGTAGCGTTGTCATCGTGCCGGGTGGTGTGGACTAAATGCCATGTTGAAACACCATGTTTGCTGACTGACCCACTTAAACTCAATGTTTATTGACTGTTCATAGTTGCCAGCAGAATGAGCTAACCCGTCTATATTTGAGCACTACATCTACTTTTCTTTTCCTACCCTACCCCAACTCCCACAAGAAGCTTAGCCATGTCACCACATTCGGCAGTCAGAAATGAGCTCCTTGTTTGCTCCTTTAAGAATCAGTCATATAGTCCACATATTAGGATGGCTCCAAGCGCGAGCTCCGTCGCCAGGGTTTACCAGCACTTACACCATTGTACCCCCTTTTCCGTGCATGGCTCTAGACCCTGGTATTCAAGGTGGCTCACTTCTTAGGGGACATTGGAAAAGACAACCACCTATAAAACCCGCCCACCACATTCTCGGTCATCGACGCCATACCTCTTCCTCATCTCTTTTTTCTACATCTTGATTACCTTCTCCCCATTCTCTACCGGGTGCTTAGCCATGCTGCCAACCAAGGTGGTAGAAGTTGCGTTTTTTCCAAAGATCATTCGTATTGCTACTGGGCGTCACAAATGAACTCGATAGGGAAGAAGACACTGTTTAAGCTCTCGTGAAGACTGGGCTCCATCTTGTATGCCTGCTTTTTATCAGTAGTAAAAAAATTTCTCAGACACCTTTTCTCCGTAACAGTATTAACCAGGGTGGGGCAAAATATGAGCGAATTAACGAGAGTGTTATACCAATACAAAATGCATGTACATGCCTGGGCCATATTATGCATCCCAGTCGTCAAAATTTCAAAAATTAGTATGGGCGTGTGAAAAAAATGAACTATAGCATTTTTAAACAAGAGATGTGGCGTGATGTCTAAATAAACAGTGGATTGACATAAATCCGGGTCAACTTTCAAATACGTGGGGAGGATGGGTCGAAGAACAGGACCAAATTTTCTTGTTTTCAATGTTGTGACACTTATGAAGTAATCGTGGGGTGGATCAAGTGTGTCAGTTGCACTGAATTAGTTTAGGTATAGGTGTATACCAGAGTGGTTATGCTCAGTGTTTGTCGTGTGCTGTAGAAAGAAAAATATTGTCGTCCTGAAACGGCACACGCTATATTCATGCTCTTCATCATGCTCATCATCTTCTTTCTTTTATGCTGCGCTCCCACAACATGCGCACTGATTTGAGTGTCGCCAGATAAGAAACCCTGATGAATTTGAAAACGAGTACATAGAGAGAACGCAAGAGAGAAAAAAAAGAGAAAGAACCAAAAGAAGACAGAAAAAGAGACAGAAAAAAAAACACAGTGACACAGAGAGAGAGCGTGATTGCTGGTGAGGTGATAATTAAAGCCGCGTACCAACGTTGCTAAGGTAAGCGTCGTAACCAGTTGACTATCCAGGCACTCCAGAACAATATAGCATAAACTTGTGTAGCTTAGTGTAGGAGGGAGTAGAACCGAAAACTGCTGGTGCCGTGAAAAAATTTGAGGGTGATTAGGAGGAACATGACCACAGAAAACGAATACAGAAGACAGAGATAAATAAAAAAAAGAGAATGAATAAAATACTCAGGAAAACAGGGTTAAAGTCAATAAGAGGTACGAGGGGAGAGACCGACTAGAAGGACAGAGAAAAATTTACGTAAAATGAAAGCTAAAAGTTGAGAGAATGAAATGAGGGAAAAAACAAAATATTGAAAAGCAGAAAAAGAGACAGAGACCAAAAAGGAAAGAAAGATAGAAGAAAATATGTAGTAAAAGACGGAAACCATAGCCATATATTGTATAGTACACAAAGGGGACAGAAAAAAGGAGTTGAGTGTTTAGAAGCCAAAAAAAAAAAAACGAGGATCAACGAGGTGCCAACCAGCTCTGCTCTAACGCAGTCCTATGTAACTTCATGCAAGGTGCGCAAATTTTTTGTTGAAATTCTAGCTTTTGTGTGGTCAGTATCCGAAAAACAAAAGTGCCGCAGTTAAAAATAAAGACATATTAAAGTTTGCTCGACTAGTCTAGTGTAAATGGCACTACTTGTTCGACCATATAGGGTACAAAAATGTTCAACGAAAATGATACATAGTGCATGTATATTCCCTGAAATATTTGTAAGAAGTTGCTATTCAGGGACACCACCAACTCATTGTAGCATTTTACGAAAACGCCTTACAAAAGCCATGTTACACATTACGTCTACTTGGCTGTATTGTGGACCCAGAGGCTTTGCGTTCTTTTTTAATCATAGGTTCAAAGCTTATATGAGCTTTTATTGGTATTATCTGCTAACAAACGCAATGAAAATGGCCGTGTACGTGTTTCCTGGTCCTCATGGACAATTATTTATGGCTGTTTCTTTTCCCCTTAAGATATGAACTTACACAATGGAAACTGCCCGCCACTGTTCAATATTTCAGAGAAAAGGGAGTGTTCGAAAGGGTAACCGCCTGGTTTTAATGTATTTATTTTCTTTTTTATAGTGACCCCACGTTACCTGTCAGAGATGAAGCTTTTTGCAGTTCTTTTGGCGTGTTTATTATTTGCCACATTATCGGAGTGCTATCAGGAAAACTGTAAGTGTACTTTTAGATATTACATAGTGTAATGAAGTTTAGTGACATCTTTGAATTTGCAAAATACGATGTTTGGGCTTTCTTTTCTTTTGATTCCCTGTGTGATGTAAAATTATGAGTAATTTTGATACGAGGCTCATTTTGACACTTATGGTTTGTCTATAAATACTTGATATTTTCGATGTTACAACTTGGTTATATATAGCGTGATATGTCCGTAGGTTATGTTTACTGACTATGCCGAAATGGTGGACGCCAAAATAATTTTACCATTATGGCTTTATGAATGGTGCCTAAATTGAAGCACACAAGTCAATGCATTTAGCACGTCTCAGTGCAGCCTGCATAGGCTGGAATAAAACGCGTGTCTTCAACCTTGGCAGCGTGACGTCCCCCATTTGCACTCTGGGATATGCAAAAAAAATTGTCAGTTTGGCTGAAAGCGTGAAAAATCAATGTGAGAGAACGCACTGTTATGCTATACAAAACTAGGCTTGCAGCTATTTTTTATGACATTTCACACAAGTTTAAAAACACTGGTGTCAGAGAATACGGTCGTTTCAAGAACATGTTTCGCAGATCCTATGCGCTTTGACAGCGGAGCAGGTAGAAGAGTACGCGAGCCGCCTACTGACGACTGTCGAGGCAGCGAGATAGCGTGGGCGCAGTTATGGTGATCACACTGGTAAATTCTGTTCACAATTGCTGCTCGAGGCCCACCTCACGTCTTTTCCTGTGCGTGGAATTGGGCGGTGTGTTTTTTCTCTGCTTATGACCTGGACGGCTGGTCTAACAGGTGGGGGGATCTAACCACATGCGCTCTCTTAGTGATGTAGATTTTCCTGTTCATTTGATATTTCCTTGAGCAGCATTCGTCATATTACCCGCTGGTAGAACGTATGATGCGCTGGAGGGTTTTACCAAATTTAATTTATACAGGACATGACGGCGATGGTGGAAACTCATCAAGACTGTCAATATGATTGCTATAGCAATAAAAAAAATTCAGGGCAATGTATACTGTCTCTTCGATGGAAGCTACGAGAAAATGATCCACACAGGCTCCTAAATTCGTAGGTCCGGTTCGCGTGTGCCGGTGCCAAAGGCGAGAGGCATGACTCTTGAGGCGAAGACAGCGTACAAAGGGGCGCGGCAAGAATGATTTCAAGGTGTTCGTTAGGGACAGAATGGTAGTCAAGCTAAACAGCATATAGGCAGGGTTTTACACATCGGCGACTTACAAATCATAATTTGTTGGTAATGTGCGCTTGCACTTGCCTCGTGGAGCCAACATGATGAGGTTACTAAATTTAAATATCCGCTTAATAGTTGTTGCGTTATGCTCGAGGTTGCCGGAATATGTACACTTTTTATACAATATCATACTGTTGAAACCGGCACTTGTACGTGAATTCTAAGCCAATATTAAAGAATAAGTAATTTATTGGCTTGACTTGTGGAAAGACAGGCACCATTTTCTGAAACTTGCACACAAAATTTGATAGCCGTACATTACTATTGAATTCATAAAATCAACTTTCATTAGCATTTTAAATTGTGTTGAAAACCTCTCAATAAATTAAAACACACGTTCGGCACGGAGCGATAACTTCGCAATGTCAAAATTGTCATTAAAAGATAAATAAAAAAACTGACCCGTTCACACGTTCTCACTGCATTGTATTCATACTGGGGATCTGTAACTACCGGTGGTAATTCCCGAAAAAAAATCAGTGGTTCTATATGTGGTAGAATAAAAAATTCTGTTTCCTATTACATAAGCTGCCAAACAGCTGTCACAATTGTACCAAACTGTGAAATGACATTACTGAGCTCCCACCTTCAAGTACAGTTGCTGCCTGCTACTCATAACTCGAAGAAGAACAAGCGTTTTCTTTCGCTTGTTTATTCAATTAAAGAAATCTCGCTACGTCATGATTAAAAGTCAATGATCGCCCACAGGACACCACAGAGACAGGGTGCTGTGAAGAAAAACTTTCAACAAAAGTTGAGTCGGAGCCCAATATTACTCTTTACATATCATGCAGGAATCATCCACTTATAGAACAATATATATTGCGAAGTTATTTAGATTTCGCAAGAGGCGCTTCTCCGCACAAATGTAAAAATTAGAATCTTGGACAAACATATAACGCAGCAACTGCATGACTATTTTTTACAACAAGATGATTAGGGTGAAGATTAAGCAAGAAAGAAGGGCGTATATCTGCTTTTAAGAGTTCGAGGCCTTCTGCGCCAATCTCTCCAAGCAGTTGTTAGCGAAACCCTCCCCTCCTTCTCCCCAAAAAACATCGTTTGTTAGTATAAACAGGACGTAAACCTGCACTGAACTCAGGGACGACTGCCCTTCCCCATAACCCTCGTCCCGCCGACGAACATCTCACGCGTACAAAACAATGTGCCAAGTTGCTGCTGCCTGTCCGCCATCGACTGCCCAGCCAGCGTCACGGCTGTTGGGTTTTTGACGAAGCAGTGCACCACGCAGATGGCGATTTCATACCACGTGTATACCAGCAGGACATAGGGCATGGTTCCCCCAGTAAAAAAGTATGCATGCTTCATTATTCTGAAAAATGACGAGTGCGTAGCACAGACCCCTAGCGATATGTGTTCATAGAGTTCCCTTTTTTGTTAGCTTTTTTGAGCAGTTTGCTTGTATTATGTACTGCCAGTTATCTCTGTGCCCATTTAAGCAAGCGACGCTTTGCTTGTCAGGGAATGAAAAGCATCAGGTGCACTTTTTAAAACTGGCGTGTTTTGTACCATGATTTATGAAGGCTACACTGACGCATTTCCGCCATACATGTGATGATGTCAAATATGTACTGACCGACAGCAAAAGGAGAAAGAAGAAAACACAACTTCAGCGCGTTTTTGTCATCAGTAGCGAGACGGCGCGAAGTGATGGCCTTTAAAGGTCGTCGCCTTTTGCTCCTAAATGAGCACCGTTTACACAGAGCGCGGACTCTCCTACGCGCGCGTTTATCAGACACATGATTCGGGAAAGCACGAACGCCACTTCTCTAACTGCCCTGGCCGCTTTTACGAAAGGAGTGTGCAGCTTCCACACGAAGAAATAGAATTGTGAACATTGCTTGCGCTTGTCCTGTGAATACGCATGCATTCGTTTCGTGCCTCATTCTTTCCGTTTGATTAGCTTGCTTTAAATATCGAGCTGCGACCGTTGTTAGTTAGCCCTCTTGTATATATGCTCATTTCGTGGGTGCTTTGAGCTTGAGGAGCAAGCCGCAATTTTTGAGATGCTTGGCTTTTTTCAGGTAACATTACAATTTGTTGTGTAGCATACGTTCCTTCGCCCTCGAGGGGAAACAATTCACAATACACGACAATAAACGCTCGACTACCTCTGTGAGGACAACGTTCGCTTTCGTGCCGTACGTATTCCTAGAATGACAAATCAACCACGTTGTTTAGACAGGCTTGTTTTGTTTTTGAAAATTGCCAGATCCCACGCACTGTAAAAATCGATGATATGCTAAGCACAAATGAGGAAGCTTGATATGTCTCGTTAAAATCAGCACAACGTTACAAGGCTGACGTAAATTATGCCGTACAGCACTTCCACGCCATGATTATCATGTTTGGATGTGTCATTTACCTTCGTCGGCTATTCACGTTAAGGTGATACTAAATTTAGTATCACGTTACGTGATATGTGGAGCTTGCGAAACGGCTGGGAGCATGCTGTGAGATCAGCATGTCGTCATGTTTCACATGAGAAGCGTATAAAAATATCATGTTTGGACGTGTCATTTAAGTTTCATCATCAAAAAGTCTCCTGATACGAAATTCGGTATATGTGGAGCTAGCGGAACGGCCGCGAGCACAGAATGAGCGTAGCATGTAATCATGTCTCACATGACACCTATTTCATGATTATCATGTTTAGACGTGTCATCTACCTTCGTCGTCGATTCACGTGACGTGATACTGAATTAGGTACATATGGCGCTAACGAAACAGCTGCGAGCGCGCTACGAGCGTGGCATGTAGTCATGACTAGTCATGACATGCATGTCATGATTTCTACGATATGATCTGTCATTTATGTTCGCTCTGCAGTCGTGGCATACCATACCAGTTTTGCAAAATGTCATGTGAACGAAACCCCTGCAAGAGCAGCAGGGTGATAAAATGTAAATCATGACATTTATGACACACATATCATAATTTTCGTGTTGTAACTAGTCGATTTTGCTCGTCATACAGTCATGTTATGCTGTACCAATTTCGGTATTCATACCATTATTGAGAAGGCCAGTTTAATGTCGAAGGCGGATAGATAGATAGAGAGATGGATAGACAGATAGATAGATAGATAGATATATAGATAGATAGATAGATAGATAGACAGATACGCTCAGAGGTGTCGAAGTTCACTAAACATGCTTCGCATTCAAAACATAAATAAAGATTGAGAAAATAGAGGGTGTTACGTGGCTCGTAATAGGGCTCAGTATGAGGCCTATACTGTGCTACAAAATGGGCACGTCCTTTGCTATCGTAGCTTGGCCACCGAATATAACTGGGCATGGGGTTTCTTACTCAAAAAAAAAACTGTTAACATAGAGGTATACTATTGCATTATTGAAAGGGTGATAGGCATCCTGAATTGATTGATTGATTTGTGGGGTTAAACATCCCAAAACCACCATATGATTATGAGAGAAGCCGTAGTGAAGGGCTTCGGAAATTTCGACCACCTGGAATTCTTTAACGTGCGCCCAAATCTGAGCACACGAGCCTACAACATTTCCGCCTCCATCGGAAATGCAGCCGCCGCAGCCGGGAATCGAACCCGCGACCTGCGGGTCAGCAGCCGAGTACCTTAGCCACTAGACCACCGCGGCGGGGCTAGGCATCCTGAATAAATTCAATAAGAGAGACAACATAAATGCGTTACAGCCCTACGTTCCTATATCCATCCATAATGACGTATTAGTTGAAAGCTTCTATAAAGACGTTGAGCTGGCAATGAGTAATGTAAAAAAAGAAAAATTGGCCCCGTATCTGCATTTATTCTGCAAATGTCGTCGAAAGACTATAGTTTTGCGTGTGGAGAGAGTAAACGAAACATTTATTTGATGTTCTGCTCAAGAAAATCGGTGAATGGTATTCTGGAGGCGCTGCGTTAGAGCGCCTCGAGCGTGCAGCAGAGGCGAACGAGTGCGTCAAGTCACGTCACACGTGAGACATGACCGCCATCTGGCAGTTTTTGTTTTCAAAAACAAAGCGCGTGGCAATGAGACAGGTGTGCGCGCCCGTCTCAGAGGTGATAAGGTGTAGAACACAAGGCGTTGGGTAGGCGCCATCACCATCACGTTTTAGCAAAGCGTTGAAAATACTCACCTTGCCGTGCAAGCGTTGGATGGTCAGCGCAGCGTAATAAGCGCTACGGTCCTTATTATTACTTAAGTAAGCCTTTTATACTAAAAGACGAACATGCAGAATATATACGTGTTGTTGTCGTGCCTCAGATATGCGCAATAGTTGCTTTTTAATTGACAATCACAGACGTATGGACGCTGATTCTTGAGCATCATTGGTGGTCGCTGCGGATGGGGTCGGCCGTTCGCGGTATCGGCTGCTGCTTTTCAGAGTAACCAGTTCGCGGTAATGGTGGACAAACAGACAAATGTACACACAGACAGATAAAAGTTTTTGCGTTGAAGGTCCCCAAGAAAGACTATCGTCTTTAAAATATACTGTACTGACGGGCGCCATCAATGGCAAGGTGAGGAAGAAGCATGCTGGAGACCGGGCAGTAGGGGATTACAGCATCGTTACTAAAATCGCCAGAGGGTAGTCAGTATAACTCGCAAAGCGCAACAATTTACGGAGTTTGAGTGCCTTCTACCGAGATTGAGTGAACCATAAGCGGACATGGAAGAACTCTAATGGCGAAAGCAAGAACAAAATAGATTTTATACCGAGTGCACACCCAGACATCGAACAGGATGTAGAAGTGCTTGGGAAGGTACGATGCAGTGACCGTAGAATGATAAGATCTCGAATTCACCGAGACTTGTGGAAATAATGACAATAACTGGTATACAAAAAGCTAATGAATCAGCTAGCACTGAGAGGGAAAGCACAAGACTTCAAAGTCTCGCTTCAGAACAGACAATTGGCTCTTATTGAAAGAAGAAACCAGCCTTAGCGTTGATTGAATGAATGAGAATCTGGCGAGTACCATCAAGGAGTTCGCAGTAGAAGATGAAGGTACGTTAGTTAGACGGGATACTAACAAGCTGCTACAGCAAACGAAGAACCTCATTAAGAAATGCCAAAGTATGAAAGCCTAAACCACAACAGTCAAAATAAAACTGGAACAGCTTTCAAAGTTGTATAGCAAACGCAAGATATCCAATGCAAGAATTTATACCATGAATAGAATAGAACATGCTCTAAGGAGAGGAGGAAGTGTCAAAGCGGTGAAGAGGAAAGTTGAGATTGACAAAAAGGAGATGCATGCAATAGGGGACAAGGATGGCAAATTAACTACGCATAGGATTAGGATAGTTAAAGTAGTGGAGGAGTTGTACAGAGATCTGCACAGTAGCAGAAAGAACTATGACCTTGATGTAACCTCTAGCAGTAACCCAGATGACATTCCACCTGCAATGAAAGAATAAGTTTAAAAAAAACTTGGAGAGAATGAAAAGAGGTAAAAACTGCTGGTGAGAATCAGGTACATCAGATCTGCTTATAGGCGAAGGACAGAGTGTTGGAAAAACTAGCCACCATGTCTACAAAGTGTCTTCCTATGGGAATGGTACCACAATCTTGGAAGGATGCTAACATCGTCTTTATCCATAAGAAAGGGGACGACATAAACTTGAAGAATTATACTGATCGGCTTGCTCTACATCGTGTACATGTTAGTTATAAAGGTAATTGCTAACAAAATTAAGAAAACATTAGAGTTCAATGAACCAAAGAATCAAGTAGAATTTCGAATAGGATACCCCACAATCGACCACATTCATACCGTCGTTCAGGAGATAGGGAAATGCTTAGAATACACCCATCCACTGTACATAGCATTTACAGACTACGAGAAGGCATTTGATTCAGCAGAGATATCAACAGTCATGCAGGAAGTGTGAAATAAGGGTGCCAGCGAGTCATATTTCTACACCCGGGAAGAAATCTACAGAGGATTAACTGCCACCATAGTGCTCCATAAAGAAAGCGATACAATACCAATAAAAAAGGGTTTAAGAAAAGGTGATACGATGTCCTTAATGCTCTTTATTGAGTGCTTACACGAGTTTTTTTTGGCATGTAATGAGAAAAGTTAGGAATAAGATTTAATAAAGACTTCGTTAGGATTATGCGCTTCGCCTATGACATTACATGGCTGAGTAATCTAGAAGACTATTTGAAAGGCTTGATTACTGAAGTAGTCAAGGAGCGCAGAAAGGTAGGCGTTAAAATTAATGTACAGAAAACGAAAGCAATGTACAACAACTTCGGAAGAAAACAGCTCTTTGAGATAGGTAGAAGTGCACTTGACGTTGTAAAAAAGTACGTGTGCTTAAAAAAAGGTAGCAACCATGGTAGTAACCACAAAATAGAAGCAACTTGAAGAATTAAAATGGGGTGGAGCACATTTGTCAAGTACTCTCAAGTCATGACAGGTAGATTGCCGCTATTCCTCAAGAGGAAGGTGTATAACAGTTGGACCTTGCCGATACTTACCTACGGAGCAGGAGCCTGGAGGCTTACAAAGAGGGTTGAGCCTAAACGCAGGACGTCGCAGCGAGCGATGGCAAGAAAAATAATAGGTGTAACACTGAGAGAAAAGAAGAGAGTAGAGTGAGTCAGGAGAAACCGGGGCTAAGAATATCATAGTTGAAATCAAGCCTATATATAGCAGGCAGTATAAGGAAAGATTTTTAAGGGTGACTGACTGGATTCCAAGAGAAGGCAAGTGGGTGAGGGGGGGACGAAAGTTAGGTGGGCAGATGAGTTTAGAAAGTTGGAGGGCATAAACTGGCAGCAGCAAGCACATCACCGAATTGACTGGGAGTACATGGGAGAGCCTTTGTCGGGCAGTGGGCATAGTCAGGCTGATGACGATGATGGTGAATTAAAAATAGTGAGCAAACGAACGTAAAGAGGCTGGGACACGTAATTTATTCAGGCCAAAAGTTCAGACAAACGCACCGAAGACGCGACCACACTGCGTATGTCTTTCAAGTGTTTTTTAGAGAATAGAAAATTGGAAGCGGAATTTTGAGTGCCCATGAGTTTTTTGTATGCAAGCGTTCAATTAATCGCAAATGAGAATTAAGTGAGCTAGAGTGCTTCCATTTGCGGTTACTGAGCGTGTGTCAGCAATACCAGTTCCCTTCACTGCTCGAATGCTTTCTGCCATTGGTAGTGATGGCCATCGGAGGTCGTCCAGGGCCTAATTACGGGGCGTGTCTTCGCTCCTCTGTTGGAAAAGATGTTTACCAATGCTGTCACTGCTAGTTACAGAAATGATGGGGATGCACTACAATTGATTACATTACTTAAGAGATCGAAGCTAAAGACATTTTATGCGATCACTTATTTAACGTAGAAACAGCCAGGAAAGGGCGGGAATTAGTGTCAAGCTACGATAATCATCGATTATCATTAAAATTCTTCACTGAAAGCTTATAATATAATTGTGAATTTAACAATTAGGCTCGTTTTTTACGAGCGAAAACCAAGGTCACCAGAAGCTTAAGCGGGACGACGACCGACCTCGTGCTACTTTTCAAGCGGGTGCCCTAGTGGGGCTCTGGGTCCCACCGAATACTCCTGGCCTATCCTCGAAATTAATGGCCCGCTATCACAGCCCCTTCCGCATTCTTGGTCGGACTTCTCCCGTCTATTACGAGGTGGAGCCCTTGACACCATCTGACGGCTTGCATCGCCGTGGCCGAGAAATTGTCCAAGTCTCTCGCATCAAGCCTTATTATGGCCAGGCTATACTACCAACGCCTTAAGTTTCCAGGACGGCTCCTCTATTCCCCGGGTGCAAATGTAGGGAAGGAAAGACGACAACAAAAACACGAGCAAGCAATCAAGCACCAGCATCTCTAGCAGTGCCAGACTCGAGCTCGCCCTTGCCCACATTTTGACTGCTTGATGCCCGCTGCTCCTCGACGATTCACGTTGCACACTTGTCGAGCTTCCCTAATGTCCAGTAAGTCACGCCACAGAATAAAAACATATTATACCATAACAGGGACGTACTTTTTGAGTACCCTTACAGTTGCTAGGAGGACACGTGAAATAGAAAACACTTTCGAGATCAATTGTGAATCTGTGATATGCTATGAAATTTGATTTTTTTCCGACAGATAAATATCAAGAATGTAAACCAAGGAAGTATCCTGGGCTTTTAGAAAAGAGTGAGTTGATTCAATCATTTCTGATCCATCGTAATTTTTTTTCAGCACGATACTGTACTGGTGGCGTGTGCCGTTCATGAATGAACTACTAGACAACTTGAGTGCCCACCGGAACAAAAGCCCCCTTATTCCAACTTGCGCATGCTTATTTACATAAAAAACAATGGCGCCACCTGCGGAAGTGATCGCGGAACCGAAACCAAAGAGACCGATATACAACTCATTCCCTTCCTTAAAATCAGCTATATGGATTAGTGATTTAGTAGGTTAGTATGTTAGCACATATGCAAAAACCACTATACAAAAAATACAACCTGTACAAAGAACGTAACTACTTAGTACTACAAAATCACATAAGTTACAAAAGGAATCCACCATACTGGATACGTCCGTTTCATTCGCCTTAGCACAACTTCTCTTGCTACACCTTGTCACCATAACGCTCTGGTGGTAGGTAGCCTCTTTCTTAGTGGTTGCACCCTGCGTTGCTGTGTGACTGCTCCTGAGACTTGGCTGACTGCGTCGCAGCAGGCTACCTGTGTGCCTACGCAGCCGTAGGAGACGTAGGTGCCTGCGCAGCATACGCAGAAGACGTGGGTGCCTGCGCAGCGTACGCAGGAGACGTGGGTGCCTGCGCAGCGTACGCAGGAGACGTGGGTGCCTGCGCAGCGTACGCAGGGGACGTGGGTGCCTGCGCCGCGTACGCAGGGGATGTGGGTGCCTGCGCCGCGTACGCAGGAGACGTGGGTGCCTGCGCAGCCGAAGGAGCAGCAGCTGAAGTCCTGGTAGTTATCTCAGGGGTGGGGCCCTCGCATGTAGGCCGAAATCCTCCTCCCCTAGCTGTACCGTTCCCTCCCCACGTATAAAGGGCGCCAGAGGCTCGTGGTACCTTTGAGAACTTGGATGAATTCCACGTTTTGCAGTCAGCCAGGCGAAGATAAGATGGTCCGTTCCTGCTGATCACTTCTCTTGGGTGGCTGAATTCGAGGTCGCCTTTAAATCTAGTAGTGGGTTTCTTCACTCTGACAAAGTCACCAACGTCAACTCTGGTTTCTCTTACAGCCCTCCTAGCGTCCGTGTATCGTTTGCTGCTCAGTTGCTTTTGCTTTACCCGCTCACGTAAGCGCCGGAGTTCCAAGTTAGGGTCATCAAAGAAGGTTACCGACGGATGCCCTACGACATCCAACCGAGTTCTTGGCAGCCGCCCGGGTTGCAGGAGAGCTGGAATCCTTGCCGTTAAAAGCATGCGGTGTGCATCGGTAAACACCCAGGTACTCTGTTGCCGCCTGGTGCAAGGGTCGCTGCTCAAGAACCACCACTTGAATGAAACTTCCTAATACTCTGTTAAAGCGTACCACTTGGCCGTTTGCTTGTGGATAGTATACGGAAGAATGTTTGACCTGGATACCGCGATCTTGAAAAAATGCCTCCAACTTCTGAGATGCAAACTGTGATTCGTTATCGCAAATAACCTATTCTGGGTAGCCTTCGCGCGCGAACACAGAGACTAAGAAGCGTATTACTGTGCTGGTTGTCGTCTCATTACAGAAATGCACTTCAGGCCATTTGGAATAATAACGTACAAGCGTGATTGCATATCTGCAATCGTAGGGCACCCTCTCAAATGGGCCTACAATATCCACGCCAAGTTTGAGCCAAGGCTGCTCTGGAAAGGGGACCGGTTGCAAGGGTGTAGCTCGCACCTTGACGCTCTTGTCTGCTTCCTGGCATATGCTACACATCTGGATAGCTAACTCAACTTGGTGGTCCATGCCCGGCCACCAATTCTTTTCTCGCAGCCGTCTTTTTGTTCGCACCACTCTGCGATGCGGCTCATGTGCTGCAGCAATTACTTGCTGCGTGAGTGACGTGGAAACAACAAGCCGTTTGCCACGCAAGATAAGATTGCCTACCACAGAAAGTTCGTCACATGCTTTGAAGAATGGCTGAAGCTCGGCCGATAACAATTTGTGTGCAGGCCACGACGATTGCACATAGATTTTGCTTTGTTGCAGTGCGCTATCTTGCAATTGGGACTGCTCAAACTGTTCTCTGATAATGCACGAAGGAATTTCGAGAACTGATACAACCTCGTCAAACAGCGTTTCTTCTTCCTGGAAAGAAGATGCGGGCAGGCGTGAGAGTGCGTCCGCCACTTGGTTTTGCGACCCCCTTGCGGTACTCGACGGTAGAGCTGTACCGTAGTAGGTGCTCGGTCCATCGTGCCACCCGCAAGGGGCGCCTTCTGTTCCTTGGGTTGAAAGCAATGCCACCGAGGTTTGATGATCAGTGAGCAACGCGAAGTGGCGTCCCCACCAGTACACGTGCCACCGCTCGCACGCCCAAACACGAGCCAGCGGTTCCCGTTCTCCTCCCGAATATTTCCTCTCGGCTGACGAAAGGACTCGAGACGCGAGAGCGAGAATGTGCAGTTTATGTCCGTCCACCTTCTGTAGGACCGCTCCAACCCTACACTCTGATGCGTCCGTCGACACTAAGACTGGAAGCGATTCATTGAACATTCTCAGTATAAAGCTAGATACCAGCGCGCCTTTGGACTTTCGACTTTCTAAAACTAGCGTCTATCTCGTCAGACCAAACGAATCGCTGGCTCTTTTTTAGCAGGACACACATTGGTTCAACCATGTCAGCGAAATTGGGAATAAAGCAAGAATAATATTCGATCAATCCTAGAAATGATTGAAGGCTGGCTGGATCCGTAGGCACTGGAGTGTCTCGGATCGAAGCAACCTTTTTTTTCAATGGAAGCAACCTTTTTTTTCAATGGCACAATACCGTTTGCGGTGTTCCTGTGGCCCAAAAACGCAAGCTCCTGTGTATAGATGACACATTTCGTGTTCAATTTGAGTCCTGCCTCTTTTATGCACCTCAGCACTGCGGTAAGATTCGCCATGTGCTTCTCTCTGCCCTTCCCAAGCACAATGATGTCATCAATATAGAACAGGGCGCTGCTGCAGCCCTGCAGAATTTTCGACATAATACTTGAAAAGCAGATGGTACCGACGTGAGCCCAAAAGACACGTCTTAAAATGATAGAGACCGTCGTGTGTTGTAAAAGCCATTAAATCAGTTTCTCGGGTTGAAGCATGACCTGATGGTAAGCTGATGCAAGGTCAAGCTTGGAAAAGTGGGTTGCCCTAACTAAACTATGCAATAGCTCTTCTGTATAAGGGAGGGGAAGCTATCTGCTACGATGGCTTTTTTTACCTGTCAAAGATCTATAAAAAGGCGAATATCTCCATCTTTCTTTTCAACCACAACAATGAGGGACACCCACTCGGATGCCTCCATTCGCTCTATCACGTTCATTTTTTCCGAGTGGCGCAGTTCTTCCGAGACTCGTGGCCGCAGTGAGAGCGCGAGGCGCCTGAGTTTTGAAGCAACTGACTGAACTGTCGACCGTGTTTTGACGTGATGAACAAAATGCTTTGCGATTCCATGGCCTTGATCGAAAATAGCACCAAATTCTTCGATTAATTCTGATGGAAAATGAACGGACTCCTTCGCCTCTGTCATGACTGCGGTGTGCTCCGTTCGAGCGCTATAGTACACACCGCTGCCGTTTCAAGGCACTGTAGTGACGACCCATCAATCTGCAGACTGAGCGCCCTAATTGCATCAGTACCCAAAAGCGAGGTGCCTTGTTCAACGGCATAAAAAAGAAGCTTTGTTGTGCAGTTAATGTACGTGACATCAGCAAAGAAGCAACCACACACTGGAATGGGTTTATTCAAATAGTTCAGTAGCCTAATTTGAGCTGCTGAAAGCTGCTGACCTTCAAAATGCTGTCTAAATAGATCATGCGTCAAAGTCGATACTGATGACCCTGAATCCACGAAGAAAGTTAACTTCATTTCACCAAGTGCTACCGATGCGTAGATTGCGGGACGAGTGGATCTCGCCACGGCAAGAATGCTTAATACGTCTTCAGTTATTGAAATTTTGTCGTCTAGTTCACGAACAGGAGCGGCGTTTCTGTTGCAGACCGAGCGAAAATGACCCATAATACCGCAACCATGACACCGCTTGTTTTTGGCGGGGCAGTGGATTGAAGATGCGTTGTGCTGAGGTGAACCGCGGCGGTAACACTGGCCCTGTTGGCTGCACGACCGCTTCGAGGGGTCGCTGGCAGAAGATGCGGGCGGAGGGGTATTTCCGCGAGCATTTATGCTCTGAACATCTGCAGTAGCAAATTCTTTGCAATCATTGGTTGCCTGCTCAAACTGCGTCGCTATTAGTACAGCTCGAGCGAACGAAAGAGAAAACCCTTCAAGCAGCAACCGCTAGCGCAGGTTCCGAGATAATACGCCTGCAACGAACTGGTCACGCAAGGAATCTTCCTAAGAAACAAAAGAGCACGTAGCAGAAAGCTCACGTAACGCAATAAGGTACTCATCGATTGCTTCACCAACTTGCTGCACGCACCTACCAAACCGGTGCCGTTCAACCGCAACATTTGTTGTTGTCGTGAAGTGCGCATGCAGCGCTGCGACAGCGGTATAGTACAACGACGCTTCATGCTGTGTCTGAGAAGTGTACTTGGCAGCTCCCGAATCGGTATTAGTAGTTGGCTCACCGGACTTTGCGTTGGCCGAAGATTGAAGCGGCAGTGTGTGAAATATGCGCTGGCCTTCTACACCGAGGCTGTGGATTAGGAGAGCCTTGCGACGGTCCGGCGCACAGTCCGAAACATCAGATGCGAGCAGAAAATTCTCGAAGATGCGGATCCGTTGCGGCCAGGCAACAGCAGGGCGGCCAGGCGTGGGCAAAAACGGGGGCGGTGGTGCCAGTGCGTAAACACTCATGGCGCGAAAACAGTTGGCGAAAATGACGAAAATCACACCCCCTCCTAAACGAGCACGCTCGTCGCCAATGTACTGGCGGCGTGTGCCGCCGATGAATGAACGACTAGACAAACTGAGTGTCCACCGGAACAAAGACCCCTTTATTTCAACTTGCGCATGCTTTTACACATAAAC